TCCCTTCGTCCGGCCACCGAGCCTTTTGAGACGCTTCACTTGGACGTCTGGGGCCCAGCCCCTCGTCTAGGCCCTGAGCGTGAGCGTTACTTTCTGGTGGTCGTTGACGACTTCTCCCGCTACACCACAGTGTTCCCTCTGGCGAAGAAGTCTGAGGTGACTTCTACGCTGATCAGGTGGTTGCTCACCACCGAGGACACTCGTGGTCGTCGTGTCAGCTGTCTCCACTCCGACCGTGGGGGTGAGTTTCGCTCCGGCATTCTCGCTGGATTCTGTCGCGAGCAGGGCATTCGTCAGTCCTGGACGCTTCCAGAGTCCCCACAGCAGAATGGGGTTGCTGAGCGCCGCATAGGCCTGGTCATGGAGATCGCCCGCACCTCCCTGACTCACGCCTGTGCCCCCCATTTTCTGTGGCCCTACGCGGTCAGGTACGCCGCGCACCAGCTGAACCTCTGGCCACGTGTCTCTCGACCAGAGGTTTCACCGACCAGTCTTTGGACAGGGTTCCCTGGTGTTGCGTCGCGGTTTCGTGTCTGGGGGTGCTTGGCTCTTGTCCGCGACACCTCCGCGGACAAGCTCTCGCCTCGTGCCGTCCCCTGTGTCTTCCTTGGTTTCCCTGAGGACTCCTCTGACTTCACCTTTTACCACCCTCCCTCTCACCGGTTCTTTGACTCCCGTGACGTCCGTTTCGAGGAGTCCACTCCGTACTACGTCAGGTATCCCAGTCGAGGTCTCCCGGTTCCTCCTCCCCCCCTTTTCCTGACTGCCGTTCCCCCTCCTGCTCCCCCGGTACAGCCTCCCCCCCCTGGTCCAGCCCCGTCAGGTGTGTCCCAGGCTACCCCTCCTCCTTCGGTAGCCCCTCCGGTACAGCCTCCCTCCCCACAGTCCTCCTCGCAGCGTGCCGCTGGTGCTAGCTCTCGAGAGGTTGGTGCGACGCCTGTTCCTGTACCGGTTTCTGGTTCTGGGGGTGCTGGAGTTAGAGCTGGAGTTGGAGCTGGAGTTGGAGCTGGAGTTGGCACTGGAGTTTCTGGTTCTGGGGGTGCTGGAGTTGGAGCTGGGGTTGGAGCTGGAGTTTCTGGTTCTGGAGTTGGAGCTGACCAGGTGGGTGCAGAGGACGCTTGTCGTCCGGGAGCTGGTGCTGGCCGCGCGGACACTGGGGGTGCTGCGTCTGGGGGTGAGGGTGCGCCTCCTTTGGGTTCAGGTGAGCCTGGGTCTGGAGCTGGTGTTAGTGCTGCCTCTGGGGGTGGTGAGCCTAGTTCTTCTGGAGTGGACTCTGGAGCTGCCGCTGCTTCGGACACTACTCCGCCCCCCCACCCCTACCCGACTAGGCACCAGGCTCGTGTTCGCCGTGCCCGTGACGATCAGCTGGCGTTGGAGAGAGAGGAGAGGGAGTTACAGCGGCTGGAGGAGCAGCAGCAGCAGCTGGACCCGCAGGAGCAGCAGTCCCAGCAGCAGCCGCGTCCGCAGCAGCAGCAGTCGCAGCCGCAGCAGCAGCAGCCACTTCCTCCTCCTGTCTCGGGTCTTCGGATCTTTGGTCTCCCCTCCCCTTCTCCTCCCTCTTCCGCCTCTCCTCCTGTCTACGGTCCCACGTTTCCTCCTCCTGACTCCTCCCCCGCTGTTTTCCCCAGTTCTCCGCCCTTGTCCTCTTCTCCTCCGTCTCGTTCTTGGGCTACTCGTCGCTCCCCTCGTGCTCGTCCCTCGTCTCCTGTTCCCTTCACTGACCTTCGTACTGCCTTCCTTCTTTCTAGTCCACCTCGTCCGTCTCAGTCTGTGCTTCCGTCTCCTCCTGAGTCGGCCCTCACTGTGTCGCTCCCTACTCCTGTCACTGACTACTACCGCACGTACCGTCCTGTTCTCTCTCGTGTTCTCGCCTCTCTTGTTACTCACCCTCGTGCCTCTGTGTCCTCTGTGTCCGCTCTTACTGCCGCAGTTACTGACTTTGCCTCTACCCGCCGCCTTGACTACGCCACCACGCTTGTGGCTGCTCCTCCTACCAGTCCTCTGGCCGTCGGGGGTGTGTCTGCCCTTGGCCGTGACGCCCTAGAGGACAGGCAGTTTGAGCTAGAGTTCCTGGCGGCCGCTTCCCCTCATCTCTGTGCCATGCTCCTCGCCCCTGAGGGTGACCCCGACGCCCTTGACATTCCGACTCCTCGCACTTACGCTGAGGCAGTGTCAGGGCCTTGGGCCTCTCAGTGGAGAGCTGCCATGGACGCAGAGATGGCCTCCTACAGATCCACAGGCACCTACGTCGATGAGGTTCCCCCCCCGGGGGCGAACGTAGTCGACGGCATGTGGATCTACAGGGTGAAGCGGCCACCGGGATCTCCCCCGGTCTTCAAGGCGCGCTACGTGGCTAGAGGTTTCAGTCAGCGCGAGGGAGTTGACTTCTTTCAGACCTTCGCACCTACCCCGAAGATGACCACTCTTCGGGTGTTACTACACGTAGCAGCACAGAGAGACTACGAGTTACACTCTCTTGACTTCTCCACTGCTTTCCTTCAGGGCAGCCTACACGAGGAGGTCTGGTTGCGTCGTCCCTCGGCCTTCACTGGCACCTTCCCTCCTGGGACCCAGTGGAGGCTGAGGCGACCTGTTTACGGTCTTCGCCAGGCCCCTCGTGAGTGGCACGACACTCTGCGTTCTACCCTCTCTGACCTTGGGTTCCAGCCGTCTTCTGCCGACCCGTCGCTGTTCGTTCGTCGTGGCTCCACACCGTTCTTTGTTCTGGTTTACGTCGACGACCTCGTTTTCGCCACTCCGGACAGGGTTGCTTTGGCAGACGTGAAGTCCGAACTGCAGAAGAGACACACGTGCACTGATCTTGGTGAACTGCGCCACTACCTTGGCCTGCAGATCACCAGGGACAGAGCCGCTCGCACCATTACACTCTCACAGTCACACATGGTGCAGCAGGTCCTTCAGCGGTTCGGGCTTCAGCACTCCACCGTACAGCGCACACCTCTAGCTGTTGACCACAGACTCACTGGTCCCTTTCCTGACGAGCCGTTTGAGCCTAGTGGTCCCTACGCAGAGCTTGTGGGTTGCCTCATGTACCTGATGACTTGTACTCGCCCGGACCTCGCCTTCCCTCTCAACATCCTTGCGCGCTTTGTTGCGCCAGGGAGACACCGTCCTGTTCACTGGACGGCAGCTGTGAGGGTGGCGAAGTACCTAGCGACTACATCAGGCGTGGGGCTAGTTCTTGGAGGGCAGCAGTCTGTCATACTCACTGGTCACTGTGACTCCTCTTACGCTGACGACGCTGAGACTCACAGGTCTACTCAGGGGTACTGTTTCAGTCTGGGTTCTGGAGCTGTTTCCTGGCGTTCCACGCGCTCCTCTTCTGTCTCGACCTCTACAGCTGAGGCTGAGATTTACGCTGGTGCCATGGCGGCACAGGAGTTGCGGTGGTTGACCTTCTTGCTCACTGACCTTGGTGAGCGGCCGAGCTCTGCACCGACCTTGTTTACTGACAACAAGGCGTCGATCCTCCTCTGTCGTGAGCCGCGACTGGAGAGCAGAGTGAAGCACATTCACATCAGGTACTTTCTTCTGCGAGAGTTGCAGAGGCGTGGACAGGCTCGCTTCGAGTTTGTAGAGTCCGAGGCCAACACTGCAGACATCTTCACCAAGGCGCTTCCGCCTTGTGACCACCAGAGGTGTTGTGTGCAGTTAGGCCTTGTTGACACAGGTTCTAGTCATGCGTAGACTTGAGTTTATTGCCTGCTTCGTCTGTACATTTACTATATATACTTGTGATCTCTTGGACTGGCCTTGTGGCCACTGTTGCTTGTGCTCAGAGTGTGTGGTGACGTTGTGATCCACCCTGAGCTTTGTTTTCTTTTGGACTGGTCTTGTGACCGTACTCTTTTTGTTTTTGCTAGACACCCCTCACTTAGGCTATGGGGGTGTGTCAAATGTTGTAGCCTGTAGTGAGGTTTGTCTTAGGGGGTACAGAAGTTAGGGTTTGTCATATGTACCCCAACCAACATCAATGCAACACTCATTCCTCATTCTGACAATGGGTGATGCGTGCATGGGTGCATGTATGGGTGATGCGTGCATGGGTGCATGGACGAGTACATGGGTGCATGGACGAGTACATGGGAGCATGGACGAGTACATGGGTGCATGGACGAGTACATGGGAGCATGGACGAGTACATGGGTGCATGAATGGTGAGAGAAGAGCGGGAGAGCAGGGAAGCATACACCTGCTGCAGCCGAACCCACCCATCTGTTGCAATGCAACGAAAGCCCACCTTACACACCTGAACCGCCTGGCAGACCAACAAAGCCCTGCCACCTGTTACCCCTGCTAGCCACCACCGTATCTGCCAGCCCTCCCACCTGGAGCAGCAAATCCCACCTGGCACTTCAGCCACTAAGGTGCTCGAGGCGAACTTCCTCTGCAGCTCAGCAGCCAGCGGCTCAGCCTCCACCAGATAAGCCTCCACCAGCCCCGACACCCCTGCTACCCCCATCTGCTGCAACACAACCCATCTGGCACTTCAGCAACCCATGTGCTTGAGGCAAACTTCCTCTGCAGCCAGCGGTTCAGCCTTAATTAGAGTAGCCCCTTGGTGCCTGCTACCCCTGTACCTGTTAGCCCTCTCACCAATAAGAACCCACCTGGCACTTCAGCAACTGACGTGATCGAGGCGAACTTACTCTGCAGCTCAGCAGCCAGCGGCTCAGCCTCCACCAGATAAGACTCCAGCCCTGCCACCCGCTTGCCCTCCTATCTACAGAGCCCAGCCCACCTGGTAGTTCCGCGACTGACGTGCTCGAAGCAAACTTCCTCTGCAGCTCAGCAGCCAGAGGTTCAGCCTCCACCAGGTAAGCCTCGAGCCCCGACACGCGCGTCACCTTCTTGTTGCCCTGTCGCTGTTAATGTAGCCCCTTGGTGCCTGTTAGCCGTGTTAACCCTGTTACCACTTTTACCCCTGCACCTGTTGGCCCCAGTGACTAACATACCCTGTTAGCCCTCACGCACACCTGCTAAACCCAAAACCCACCAGGCACTTCAGCCACTGAGGTGCTCGAAGCAAACTTCCTCTGCAGCTCAGCAGCGAGAGGCTCAGCCTCCACCAGATAAGCCTCCAGCCCCGACACGCGCGTCACCTTCTTGTTGCCCTGCCGCCTCTCCACCAGAATCTGCACCGGCACTAACCCTCCCTTGCGCACGATGCTTTTCCCTATAGAAGCTCTCTCCACCCTGTGATGCGCCTGCATGCGCTTCACTATAGTCGGACCCAGGTCCCGCTTGTGGCATTCCGTGGGGTACGCGGCGCCCTTTTTTATAGCGCCTTTGTACAGTGCGTCGCAGAGCGGTGCGTCGAGGATGACTATAGAGGGGTCGGAGGGCTTTGTGAGGGAGTGGAGAGAGATGTAGTTGAGAGCAGCCTCGCGGGCAGCCGAGGGGGAGTAGTAGGCGTGTGGGTCGAGCCCTACGGCTTCGAAAATGGCTGACACGTGGTGGGTAGGTTTGAATACCTCCTCTACTGTCAGCCCTCCACTGCTGCTGCTGCCGCTACCGCTGCTGCTGGTGGTTGTGGTGGTGGTGGCGGTGGTGGTCCGTGCTCCAGGTGCGGCTGGGGATGTGTCTTGGGTTGCAGCAGCAGGGGTCTGGGCGGGCTTGTTTGTCTTGTCTGGCGTGAAGGCAATGAGGGTCGGGTGGCGGTAGTTGACAGCGGAGAGGATGAACTCCTTTCGGTGCTTGTCCTCCTTGCCGCTTATCTGGGAGGGCAACGAACAAGGGGGTGGGGGTGGGGGATGGCGGTGTATGAGTGCAATAGAAGCGATGATGCCACGGGTTGTTGACAGCAGAGAGGATGAACTCCTTTCGGTGGTTGCCCTCCTTGCCGCTTATCTGAGGGGGGGGGGGGGGGGTAATGGGAAGAGGTATATAGATTTATGCAGTGGGAAGGGTGGAAAGGAAGGGGTGGGTACATGCTATTGGCGGATAAAGACAGAGAGGATGAACTCCTTTCGGTGCTTGTCCTCCTTGCCGCGTATCTGTGAGGGGGGGGGGAAGGGAGAAGATAGATGAGTGCATCGAAAGTAGTCATGGGTGCAAGGGAAGGGTCGGGTGGCGGTAGCCTGTAGGAAATGGCAGGCAGAGAGGATGAACTCCTTTCGGTGCTTGTCCTCCTTGCCGCATATCTGGGAGGGGGGTTAGGGGAGGGTAGATGGGTTCAATGGGGAGGGTTGGGTGGTACAGGTGGGAACATGCCATGGGTGGTTGATAGCAGAGGAGATGAACTCCTTTAGGTGCTTATCCTACTTGACGCATACATCAGGGGGCAGGCAGGCAAGAAGCTTTCCCCTGAATGTCACTCACTCTCACAATCCCTCACTCTCACTCACTCACTCACTCACCAGCCCCTCAACCGCCTTGGCGTGCAGCCACTCATACTCACACGCTCTCTCACACTCACACTCCCTCCCTCACGCACTCACCAACCCATCAATAGCCTTGGCATGCAGCCACTTGCTCAGCTTCTTGTGAGACGACCTCTTGATGTCCACTGTTGTGCCGGGCGGCCGACATGGCAGCACGTGATTGGACCTGCCAGCCATGCACGTGGTGGTGGGAGAGCATCAGGGTATCACATGATTCACGTGTCATGCGCCTTGTGTCAGACACATGGCAGCACGTGAATGGACCTGCCGTGCAATGCGTGGTGGTGGGAAAGCATCAGGGTATGACATGATTCGCATGCCATGGGCCTCGTGTTGGACCTGCCGTGCAGGGGGGGTGGAAGGGAGGGAGGGGCAAGCAAGGCAATCTTTCACGGAGAACCAACATGGGACAGCTAGCACACTCTGGTAACCAACAACCCAAGCTGCCGAGGAATGTGAAATATTACCTTAAACCCTCACAACATGAGACAGCCTTTCAGGCGCCTCTCTTCAGGGGGAGGTTACCAGAGTGTGCTAGCTCCCAGCGGCGGGTGGGAGAAGTTGAAAGAGACGGAGAGGGCCTGCAGCAGACGCTGGTGCACTTGCTAACCGCGAGTGAAGACGACGCAGGAGACAGCGATCCAACAGCTCATCCATCTGTTCTGCTGCCATTGCCACCTGAGAGGAAGGTTACCAGAGGGAGGTTACCAGAGGAAGGTTACCAGAGGGAGGTTACCAGAGGGAGGTTACCAGAGGGAGGTTACGAGAGAGAGAGAGAGAGAGAGAGAGAGAGAGAGAGAGAGAGAGAGAGAGAGAGAGAGAGAGAGAGAGAGAGAGAGAGAGAGAGAGAGAGAGAGAGAGAGGACTTAGCACCCAGCCCTCTTCCTCTTCCCTCGGCCCTCTTTCTCTGAGCCCATTTAAGGGCCCTTGGTGCCTTCTTCTCCTCATTATTTCGTGTGTTCTCAGTTTTCCGCGGGCGGAGAGAGCGAGAGAGAGAGAGGACTTAGCACCCAGCCCTCTTCCTCTTCCCTCGGCCCTCTTCCTCTGAGCCCATTTAAGGGCCCTTGGTGCCTTCTTCTCCTCATTATTTCGTGTGTTCTCAGTTTTCCGCGGGCGGAGAGAGCGAGAGAGAGAGAGGACTTAGCACCCAGCCCTCTTCCTCTTCCCTCGGCCCTCTTCCTCTGAGCCCATTTAAGGGCCCTTGGTGCCTTCTTCTCCTCATTATTTCGTGTGTTCTCAGTTTTCCGCGGCTCGCGCCGGCGGTCTTCGGCCGCCGCCGCTCGCCAGCGCGGCCTTCGGCCGCGCGTTTCAGAGGCAAGACACTCACACAAGGAGTTGATCAAGCAAGGCATTCCAAGAAGGAAGAAATCAAGCAACTGGAGAGCATCACCTTACGATCAAGATGCAATACTATACGAGACGCCGCTCTACTGCGTGTACAGGCCAGCCCCCTCCGCCTCAAGCATCGCGAGAAGACACCCCGCCATCGAGTGGAGAAGCTCCGCCGAGAAGCGAAGAGTGTCAACAGGGGTCCCGTGCTGAGCCGCAGCGTGAAGATCAAGAGCGAGGCGGGGGAAGGTACGGGCTAAGGGTGCTACCCCGGCGGGCGCATCCGACACGGGCGATAAAAGGGGGACAATCTCTCCTGCCCAAGCGACGCACTGTCCTTGGGGCCCTTGAGCAAAACTGCTCGGTGTGTGACGCATGGCCTCACACGCCGCCAGCTGCAGGCTCGCCAGCCCCTCAGCCGCCCCCGCCAAATTCCACATCCGGCACATGCTCAGCGTGGGATCTCTCCCCGCGCGGCTTGGGAGAGGCGCAGTCGGAACTCCGCGCGGCAGAAACATCGCCACCTGGCCCGGAGTCTGGCCAACCGTATTCTGAGGAGCAGGGTAACCTGGGGCTTGACGGCGTCCGCGGAACGGCCCCCTCGCCGCTGCAGCTGGCAGGTACTCCCGCAAGGTCGGAGCGCGCAGCGGAGCGGCTTCAACCGCAACAGGTGCGGTGGGGGGCTCAGTGGTCACAGACACGTGAACGTGAGCCGCTGCCCCCGACGCTTCCACCTCCCGCACTGCATCCGCCACCATATTCCCCGCGCGGTCAGCAGTGGAGCCCTGGCCACGACTACCCCCGCCGCGCGCATAACCATTCCGCCGCCCACGACGCCCTCCAGACCCAGCCGACTGAGGACGGGGCGGGGACTGCTCACGGCAGCGAGAATCCCAACGGCCCGCATGAGCCCCGCGGCCCCGACGCGGAGGCGACGGCCGCGGCGTCCGCTGCGGAGGGGACCGCTCCCGCGGTGAGCGCTTCTCCGGCGACCTCTCAGAAGAGCGGTAGCGGCGGTCGCGATGCTGAATTTCCCGCTGATATTCGTCCCATCGCCGCCGAGAGTCATGCGGCTCGGGGGCGCGACGCGCAGGGGACGCGGGTCGATATCCACGAGGCGGCGGGGACCGGCCCCGCTCCTGACGCGCCGGCAAGGCATTCGACGCGACGACTAGGGGAGCACGGGATTGCTCAGGAGACGCGTGACGATCCGCCCCGCGCAGTGGAAGAGACAACTCGCGCTCAAGACGGCGCACGGGCGCCGACGCAGCAGGACGAGCCTGCACTTGGGAACGCGGAGGCGCATACTCGGGGTTTGGCTGCGCAACAAGCTGAGCGCTCTCCGCGGTTGCTTCCAAGGCGCGGTCGCGACCCACGGACCCCGCCATCACGACCGAGGCGTGAGCCGAGGACGCCAGAGCCCCGCTTGGCAGGGGAGGAGATTGGCGAAAACCGCACGCCTGTAATGCACAGCCCAATCGCGAGGAGTGGCACACCTGGCGGACGACGCGTAGGCGGGAGAGGAGGCCGAGGAAGAGGAGCTGGGAGGAGAGGAGGCCGACGTACAGGCGCGAGCGGCTATGCGAGGACAGCAGAACGACTACTCCGGGAAGGCGCGGAAGGCGGCGAGGAAGCCGCTAGCAGGGGGGAGAGTGGTGAATCGGAGAATGACGAGAGTGACGAGGGTGACCCAGGTTTTAACCCCGAAACGGAGGGAGGTTTGGATGCTGAAGCTGATGAAGATGATGAGGAGCTCTTGGTTCGTGGGGCTGAGTTCCCGGACCAACAAATTGGAGCCGCGTCTGCAACACGAACCCCAGCCAGGAATCGGAATGTGGGGGGAAATCAGGCCTGGAGGGGAAATCGGACCGCGGCAGAAATCACATTTGACTCTGCCGCAACCAATAGGAACACCCCAACCCCAACTCCAACCCCACCAATGATCCACCCAGGCGACTTGGCGAAACGACTGGACCTTTTCGCGCAAGTCGCAGGCTGGGACTTGGACCCACTGCGCGACAGTCGCCAGCCCCCCCTCGCCCGTCACCCGCCAAAAGACCTCCGCGAATCATTCGCAGTCTGCCTACTCACCCCACTCCTCCACCTGGCAGCCAATCCCAACTCGACCGCGGGGTGGAGGTTAATGACTTTCCTCCCGCGAATCCTCCTACGCACCTCGTCAGCTCGCAAACCAGACTGGAACGCGATGATGAATCGCCTCCTCCGTTTCCGCCAGGGACTCTGGTCTGGCCTGTACGACGAGGCAGTTGAAGCAATTTCCCTCCCAGCCCAGCCACGTCACGTACCTGACACTCAGGGCATCCTTGCTAGAGCGGAGGGACTGGCCAAGCGTGGTAACCTGGCCAAGTCACTACAGTCCCTCCAAGCCACTCCGGTCTCACCTGCCTCCTCCGAAGTGTACGCGGCATTAGCAGCACGACACCCGCAAGCACTCCAGCCCTTACCAGAATGGATACGCACCTTCTCCCCCGAGAAAACCCCTTCGATAGAGCCGCGCGACTTCAGGCGCATCGTAGCCAAACTCCCAAACGGGGTGGGAGCAGGGCCCTCAGGCACAACCTTCGAGCACATACGCGATGCTGCACTCGGAAATCCAGACATCTTCGCCCATCTCCTCGCACTTACCAATACAGCTATAGCCAGGAAACTCAGCAGCGAGGCCACCGAGCTCCTCACAGCCTCACGGCTCTTGGCCTTCACAAAACCGCAGGGGGGGACCCGACCGATAGCCGTGGGCGAATGCCTTCTTCGCATAGTGGCCAAGGCAGCACTGTTCCTGACTGGGGCGGCGGCACGATCACACTTTGCGCCTCTACAGTTCGGGGTTGCAGTGGCTGGAGGGATTGAGGCGGCCATTCACACTGCGCGCACATACCTGGAGGAGAACCCGGGCTCGGTGGCGCTGCAGATTGACCTCGCCAACGCGTTTAACGCGGTGGAAAGGGCGGCGGTATTCGAGGGGCTCAAGAACGAGTCCCTTGAAAGCCTTCTGCCCCTTGTCCGCCTCTCCTACGGAACTCCCTCAGCACTCCACCTCGACCATGACTTCGGCGTGGCTCCACTGCCAAGTGCTAGAGGCGTCCGCCAGGGGGATCCTCTTGGCCCCTTGCTCTTTGCGGCAAGCATCCACCCACACCTTACCGCAACGGCACTAGCTCACCCAAGGGTCGTCATTCTCGCCTATGCAGACGACATAACGCTGCTAGGCGAAGCAGAAGCGTGCACGGGGGCATTTACACACCTCACTGCCGCACTGATCCACATAGGCCTCGAGCACAACCTTGGGAAGTGTGAGGCTTGGTCTGCAACCGCCATAGACCCCGCCTCTCTCCCTCCGAGCTTCCCCATTGCAGCAGACGGACTGCGGATATTAGGAAGCCCAATCGGGACCTCAGATGGCTGTGCCGCCAGAGTAAGGGAAAGGCTTGCAGCAGCAGCAGAACCCTTGCCGCTCCTGGCCCAAATGGACCCCCAATTGTGCCTGCTGCTACTCACCCGCTGCGTGGGCCGGCGAGCATCCTTCCTGGCCAGAACCACTCTGCTAGAGGCACTACCTGAGGATGAATGGGCGGCATGGGGGGAGCAACTGCTGCATACCTTCCTGGACGCGGCCCATATCATGCTGCCAAGGAGTGACGCGGAACAGAGGAGAATGTGGAGGCAAGCGGCGCTGGCCGTAACATTGGGGGGGCTTGGCATTACAAATCCTGCAGTTGAAGGGAGCTCTGCGTACCTTGCGTCCGTGGTGGGCACCTCCCACTTACTGCACTCCCTGGCCGAGGCACTCCACCCAGATGTAGCAGCCCTCCTCCCCCTAATGGACCCCACCTCCGGCTCCGCGCACCCCCTGCCTGCACGCCTTGCAGCAGCGGAAGCAGCCCTCCCCCCCGAGGCTCTAGAAGCTCTCCAGGCCGGGAAAGCAGACCCACAGGGCCTCAAGCTGCAGCAGTCTCTAGCACTGGCGGTTCAGACACGCCGCTTCCTGAGGGTCATGAACGAGGCAAGGCGGATGCGCCCCAACCCCCTCTCTGGCCATGCCCAGAGAATGCAGTCGGTGCTCGGCCCTGGTGCGGGAGATTGGCTGCTGGCACTACCCATCATACCCTCGCTTAGGATGGGACCCTCCCAGCTCTCCTCCGCTGCTGTGTTCCGCCTGGGCCTCCCCCTACCTGTCCCCAGGCGCTGCGACTGCCGCTACCGCACCAAATTCCCTGATGACCGCCTCCCAAACCATCTCATGCGCTGCGAGAAAGGGGGGGGAAGGATTGCGACTCACCATGCGCTCAGGGACGAGATTGCTTTGATTGCGGCAGAGGCGGGATTCACGGTGCACAAAGAAACCTATGTATTCTCTCTCGTTGAAAACCTGAAGGCGGACGTCGCAATCCGCCATCCCCGGACAAGAGAGGTTTGGATGTGCGACGTGACAGTGACGGACCCCGTTTCTCACCAAGATGAGAACTGCAATAGAGCACCGGGGTGGGCGGCTAGGGCAGCTGCGGACAAGAAGGAGCAGAAATACGCGCGCCGGAATGCGTGGGTGGGCTTTCATGCCCTAGCGGTAGAGACATATGGGTACCCCTCGCCCGGGGTGTTGGCATTCTTGCGGCAGTGCGCGGAGCTGGCGGCCAAGTTGCGATTCAACGCAGCCCCCAACTCCTACGAGGCCGCCAAGCTGCTGACGGAATACCGCCAGCGCTGGAGCGTGTGCCTCCAAAAAGCACAAGCCAACGCCCTCCGCTGCAAGACCAACGAGGCGATAGCAGCGGACGAGCTCGGCATGCGGGGCCCCTTTGCCCCCCTTAGCGAAGGCCAGCTCTACCAGCTAATAGAGCCCTCGTTCGACCTTTAGGGTCGGACGGAGGGGGCGGGAGGGAGTAAGGGTTTGAGGTAGTTAGGTAGACCGAGTGTTATGTCTGGTCTGGGTTTGCATGTGTCTGCATCTTCCCATGTATCTCCCATCAATCAATACCAGGACCATTCGAGAGAGAGGGTACCAAAGGGAGCGTACCAGAGGGTGCTAGCTCCCAGCGGCAGGTGGGAGGGCTTGACAGAGACGGAGAGCCTGCAGCAGACAGCGATCCAACAACTCATCCATCTGAGCCGGTGTCAATGCCACCGCTGCTGCTGTTTCTGCTGGTGCTGGTGCAGTTTCCTCTGCAGCAGCTGCTGCTTTTTGTTCCCCCTCGCTGCCCCCAACAGCGCCAACAGAATTATTATTACCAGCAGCAGCAGTGTCACGTATTCCCAGATGCTGCAGAGATTCTGACAGGTGCTCTGATGAAGCTGCTGCTGCTGCTGCTGCTGTTGCTGCTGCTGCCCCCTCCTCCATCACCGCACCTGCCTCTCCCTCCTCATCGCCCCTCCCCTCACCTCGCCCGGCCTCACCCTCCCCCCCTCCAGTCCCAGTAGCACCCAAATCGTCATCAGGTGAATCATCAGGCGAATCTTCAGGTGCTGCTCCCTCTGACGAAACAGGCTCGGCATCAGGGTCGGGCACAACCAGGTCTGGCAGGAAGCCCTTGTTCGACACATAAGAGCCCTCTGCTGTCTCCCTGTGGGCGCGGTGGGGAAGTGGGGAGGGAACGGAGCGTCAAGTGGTGGTGCTCCATTTGGAGGAGAAGAGCAGGCATGGCATCAGAATCGGCAGGCGTCTCCCTGTGGGCGTGGGTTGGTGCGGAAGAGAAAGGGATTGCACAAGCGTTGAGCATGAGAGCAGGAGAACAAGCAGCGCACAGACAGGCACGACCAGGTCCGGCAAGAAGCCCTTGTTTGGGACGTACGAGCCCTCTGCCGTCTCCCTGTGAGCGTGGAAAGCAGGAGGGGGGAAGGAAGTGGGATAGTGCAAGAGCGGATGGGCATGAGCAGTTTAACGAGCGCCAAGGGCGGGCACGACCCGCCAGGTCCGGCATTTGAGGCGCCTCAAAAGACGAGCGCCAAGGGCGGGCACGACCAGCCAGGTCCGGCATTTGAGGCGCCTCAAAAGACGAGCGCCAAGGGCGGGCACGACCAGCCAGGTCCGGCATTTGAGGCGCCTCAAAAGACGAGCGCCAAGGGCGGGCACGACCCGCCAGGTCCGGCATTTGAGGCGCCTCAAAAGACGAGCGCCAAGGGCGGGCACGACCAGCCAGGTCCGGCATTTGAGGCGCCTCAAAAGACGAGCGCCAAGGGCGGGCACGACCAGCCAGGTCCGGCAGGAAGCCCTTGTTCGGCACATAGGAGCCCTCTGCCGTCCCCCTGAAAGCATGGGAAAGGGGGAAGGAGCGTTAGGTGGTGCTCTCCATGAGGCAGAGCAGAGCAGGCATGGCACCCCAGGCAGGCAGGCAGGCAGGTGCAAGTAGGGAACGCAGGAAGGAAGGAAGCCCTCTATGGGCACATAAGATCCCGCAGGGACCTTGCAGGAAGAAGGTACGCAGGAAGGAAGGAAGCCCTCTGGTGCCTCCCTTGTTCGGCACAAGCTTTGAGTCGACTCAAAACTCGATTCACTACACGCAGGAAGGAAGCCCTCTGGTGTCTCCCTTGTTCGGCACAAGAAGGCACATAAGATCCCTCTGCTGTCTCCCTGTCCGTGTGGGAAAGGGGGGAGGAGGGAGCCTTAGGTGGTGCTCTCCATGAGGCAGAGCAGAGCAGGCATAAAAAGTGAGTGGGGATTGGGGTGGATTTCATACTGAGTGCAGTAGTATTGGGACACATGTGGGGTTGCTGACCAAAGTGAGTCATGGCAATAGTGGGTGATTCGAAGGAGCTTCCCTCTCATGCATGCTCTCACGGCCTCTCATATGAGCAGATACAAAGAGAGAGTGGGTGGGCATGCTGTGCTGACCAGAGCGAGTTGCGGTAGTAGTGGGTGACTCGAAGGAGCTTCCCTCTCATGCCTGCTCTCATGACCTCTCGTGTGAGCGGACAGCGAAAGAGTGGGTGGGAATTGAATTGACACCACAAGGAGGATGTGAGTGGACAGAGAGAGTAGAGTAAGGTGGAATGCGGTGCTGACCAGAGCGAGTCGCGGTAGTAGTGGGTGATTCGGAGGAGCTTCCCTCTCATGCCGGCTCTCACAGCCTCCGCACTGCCCACCATCGTTATGCCCACCTGCGTGCATGGGCATGGCGAATGGTGGAGTGGAAACACATGCACATGCGGACGGATGGGATGGGGTGAGATAAGACATATGAGATGAGAGAATGCATGCCGGCTCTCACGGCCTCTGCTGCACTGCCCACCATAGTTATGCCCACCTGGTGTGCATGGGACATGGTACACATGCACATGCATATATGGGATATGGTGCACATGCACATGCATATATGGGATATGGTGCACATGCACATGCATATATGGGACATGGTGCACATGCACATGCATATATGGGATATGGTGCACATGCACATGCATATATGGGATATGGTGCACATGCACATGCATATATGGGATATGGTGCACATGCACATGCATATATGGGATATGGTGCACATGCACATGCATATGTGGGATATGGTGCACATGCACATGCACATGTGGGACATGGTGCACATGCACATGCATATATGGGATATGGTGCACATGCACATGCATATATGGGATATGGTGCACATGCACATGCATATATGGGATATGGTGCACATGCACATGCATTTATGGGATATGTGGTGCACATGCACATGCATATATGGGATATGTGGTGCACATGCACATGCATATATGGGATATGGTGCACATGCACATGCATATATGGGATATGGTGCACATGCACATGCATATATGGGATATGGTGCACATGCACATGCATATATGGGATATGGTGCACATGCACATGCATATATGGGATATGGTGCACATGCACATGCATATATGGGACATGGTGCACATGCACATGCATATATGGGATATGGTGCACATGCACATGCATATATGGGATATGGTGCACATGCACATGCATATATGGGATATGGTGCACATGCACATGCATATGTGGGATATGGTGCACATGCACATGCACATGTGGGACATGGTGCACATGCACATGCATATATGGGATATGGTGCACATGCACATGCATATATGGGATATGGTGCACATGCACATGCATATATGGGATATGGTGCACATGCACATGCATGTATGGGATATGGTGCACATGTACATGCATATATGGGATATGGTGCACATGCACATGCATATATGGGATATGGTGCACATGCACATGCATATATGGGATATGGTGCACATGCACATGCACATGAGGGACATGGTGCACATGCACATGCACATGCACATATGGGACATGGTGCACATGCACATATGGACAAGATCGCACAAGCCTATGTAGCAGCATGTAGCAGGGCAATTGAGCATCACGCACTTACCGCTATGGGGCAGGAGTTTCCTGGAACCTTCACGGACCACACCTCCCCTGGTCGGAACTCTGGCAGGCCTTCCGCAGGCCACTGGCGGGCAGAGGAATGCAGAGGGGTGCAGAGGGGTGCAGGAGAAGACATTTTTCAGGAGAACCGAACCGAAAGGGGGAACTTTTGAATAGAATCCAAGTAAACTCACCTGCACACGTGGCGCCTTGATATCAGCCCCTGACAGCAAGTAGCGGAGACCTTTCAAGCAGTAGAAGCTACACTACACCCTCGCCCTGTAACCTACTACACTATTCCTTCAACCCTCCCTTCACTCTCACCTGCATGCCTGGTGCCATGAGGTCAGCCCCTGACAGCACGTAGCGGGACAACGGCAAAAACAGAACGCTGCACCCTAGAATCCCTCCCACCTTCGCAATACCCTAAACCCCCACCTCACTCTGACTCACCTAAACGCCTGACGCCATAAGGTCAGCCCCTGACAGCACGTAGCGAGATATCTCCCCGCCCTTGAGCAGGAAGGACGGCAGCAGGTCAGGAACAAGCCAGAGCGCAAACACTGGGATGGGATGGGGTATGAGGGTTGGGTTGACAGGGGTTCAGGGTTTCGGGGTTTAAGGCAACTCTTGCGTCAACTTAAAAGTCATCACCTCCCTCCCTGCCCTTGAGCAGGAAGGACGGCAGCAGGTCAGGCACAAGCCACATCGCCACAATTGGGGATGAAGTACGGGTTGCAGGGTTTCGGATTCAAATGTCGAGCTTAAGGTCACAAGTTGGCAATTTCAGCTATCTCCTAGTAGATTCGATTCAAATATCACCTCCCTGCTTTTAAGCAGGAACGACGGCACCAGGTCAGGCACAAGCCACATCGCAACAATTGAGGATGGGGTTTCAGGACTGGGTTTGAGAGGCAGGAATTGAGGGTATAAGGTTGAAGGTCCGGAATTGAGGGATTCAGGGTTTAAGATGAGGAGGGTGAACAGCAGGTGGCTGTTGAGCTGCGGTGAAGGTGATTGAAATGATAGCATGGGACGGGAATGGAGGGCGCACAGGAAGCACGTGCTATGGACGGCGGGAACAACAAATAAGGAGATTTGGAGGAAAGGGCTAAGATCAAACCACACGATTGAAGTCATGAAGAGCGGAGGAGGGCGAGAAAGAGGAGGGGGCGGGGAAGGGAGGGAGGGAGGGAAGAGCGGAAAGGTTTGTATGAGTATCTGTGTGGTTACATCGGTGTGGTTACACGGCCATGTGGTTACCAGTGGGGTAGATCTCGGTGTGGTTACATGACCGTGTGGTTACCATTGGGGTAGATCTTGGTGCCCCTGCCGTCGCAGTCGAAGAGCATGGGCAGCCCGCTCTCGAGTCCATACACCAGCACGCGATCAAGGGAGGGGGGGATGGGTATCTGTGTGGTTACATCTCCATGTGGTTACCAGTGGGGTATATTTCGGTGCCCCTGCCGTCGCAGTCGAAGAGCATGGGCAGCCCGTTCTCGAGTCCGTACACCAGCACGCGATTCACCAGCCTCGTCACCGACACGTCAGCCTGGACCGGGCAAACAAACCGAGGGGAGTTTCGTGAAAGATACTCGGAATTCCGAAAAGACTACACCACTAAAGAGAGCGGGGGATTCGGAGAGCGCAAGCACCAGAGCGGATTAAGGACGAGGTGGTCACAATGAACTGCGAGGATTCAACACGCGGGTTATCAGGTGGCGATTGCGTGGGCCTACGTGGAGAGTAAACGGCGGGGGTACTAATACGAGGGTTAAGCGGGAAGCTACTAAGGAGCACCTTGGGCGGCAGGATCGCGTAGGCCAATGTGTAATCGGCGGAGGGTGATACGGAGGTTACGACAAGAAGCTACTAAGGAGCACCTTGGGCGGCAGGATCGCTACTAAGCAGCACCTTGGGTGGCAGGATCGCTACTAGTAAGCAGCACCTTGGGTGGCAGGATCGCTACTAAGGAGCACCTTGGGCGGCAGGATCGCTACTAAGCAGCACCTTTGGTGGCAGGATCGCTACTAAGGAGCGGCACCTTGGGCGGCAGGATCGCTAAGGAGCACCTTGGGCGGCAGGATCGCTACTAAGGAGCACCTTGGGCGGCAGGATCGCTACTAAGGAGCACCTTGGGCGGCAGGATCGCGTCCAGCTGCTCCTCAGTGGCGCCTGGAAACTTGTCTCGGATGTTTCGCCGAAGCTTCTTTCTGTCCGCTCCTGACAGACGCTGCTGTCCGCGAACGTCGCTAGGCTTTTTGAACATGACGGCGATCGTGCGGTTCGAAAATTGTATGGCTTAGTAAGAAGGTATGGTTCAATTAGCATGCACTCCGAAGTCGCGGTTCGACGAACCAATTGGTGGGTGGGGAATGAAGACCAGCAGGCATGGGAATGAAGGATGAGGATTTGGGATGGAGACATCGTCGGCGTGACTCGTAGGTTCGATTGAATGCGGTTCGATAATGTGTTTTGCGTTCTACAGAAATACTCGCGGCAGTTATCTTGTTTGGGTACGGTTAGGAACTTCACAGATGGTGTTCTGCCGATCGATCGTCAGAAGGGGGACGCGCCTTGAAGTTCGTGCCACAATTCGGGTCGTATGAGGCTGCGTCAGCAAAGCTGATGAAGATGGTAAATATTGGTTATAGAAGATTGGGAGTACACGAACCGACCCGAACTCGCAATCTTGGTTTCAGAAGATTGGGTCGACTCTGTACTCGGTTCGGTGCTCACAAGATTTGATGTCGGTCTGAACGAACCGAACCTCCTAAGTGGATTATGGTTACACCTATCAATGAAACAGTACAGAATTGCTTGATCCCTAAGACAATAACGAAAGGTTTCGCCACACGCCGCGAACTCGATCGAGTTCGCAAGTGGAGTGCCCCATGACCGAATGGATGATAAATCCCTTAGTAATTCCTCACTACCTCCCTAATTGTTCCAGCTTAGTAATCCCTAAGAGCAGTATGGCGCGAATTTAATAGCACTCAAGGTAACAACATAAGTTCGCGTCGTACTTGCTGTGTTAGTCCATATTATTTTCTGCAAGCATGCTTTAGACGCTGCCGCTTCCTACGCGCTGCTAAGAAGTGGGGCGCCTTCATCTCCAACTAAGATTTTTGTTTCAAACATATTCTCAGGGGACAGAAGTTGCTGCAATAAGATGCATTTTGTGGCTGATTGACATCCATCCAGGTAAATCATCTAAAATCCACCTTATCCAAGCAAGCACCCACCCAACAAAGGATAAACAACATATCCATGAACACACACATAGAGAACGCTAGCACACCCACTTGGCATGCAGAAGAACCAGTTAGAATATTATGCTCTAGCCTGTAGTGGGGTGCTCTATAGCGAGTACAACCCTTCTAGGGTTTGCTATTTGTATCCTCATTCTTGCTAGTGCAACCCTCTTCTTTCTTTTAAACTTCAACATGCTATCAGAGCAGGTCGATCCCATTGGATCGATCATGTGGGTGGGCTCACCACCTCGTTGCTTCCGCTGCAACTTCCACTGCTACTCTCTGTGCCGCACGCCCCGTGGCGTGCGGCAGTTTTTCTTCCCGCCGTGCGCCCCGAGGCGCGCGGCATTTTTCTGCCCGCCGTTCGCCCCGTGGCGCGCGGCGGTTCTCTGCCCGCTGTGCGCCCCGTGGCGCGCGGCGGGCTTCTGCCCCGTCACTCGGCGCGTCGCCCTCGGGAGGCGCTGCGACGGGCGACGGGGACCCGCGCGTCGCCCCCCGTCGCCCGTCGTGGCCTGCGCGCGGCCCGTAAGGGCTGCGCCAGGCCCGCGCGCGGCCCGTACGGGCTGCGCCAGGCCCGCGCGCGGCTCGGGCCGCCTGCGCGCGGTTCGGGCGGCTGTGCCAGGCCCGTGGGCGGCCCTTTCCTCGCTGCCCCTGCCCTCCCCGCTGTCCCCCGTGCTTCTACTGGCGCCCCACCCCTCCTACAGCCCGTTCTCCTGAATTAGGGTTTGGGGGTGAGGGGTATGGGGGTGAAGCCACTGTGTGCCGTTCCCTGCTCCTCCTCCTCCTCCGTCTCCCTGTGCTGCAGCTGCCGCTGAGGGGGGGTGGACTTGTTGGAGCCGTTGGAGTGGTACTAAGGGGGGGTGAAGGGGGAGTGGAGCTAGCGGTGTAACAGCGGGTGTGTGTCAGGGGGAGTGGGATAGTTTGGGGAGGTTGAAGGGGGTGGCCGCCGTGAAGCCAGCAGCTCCAGTCGCCCGTGAGACCGTTGCGCAAGTCGCCCGTGAGCCCGTTGCGCCAGTCGCCCGTGAGCCCGTTGCTCCAGTCGCCCGTGAGTCCGTTGCTCGTCTGCCGCTACTTTTAGCCGCGGAGCCAGTTACTCCAGTAGCCCGTGTGCCAGTTGCTCCAGTTGCCAGTGTGCCAGTTGCTCCAGTTTCCCGTGTGCCAGTTGCTCCAGTTGCGCCGTGTGCCAGCAGCTTCAGCTGCCGCCCACTACCTCCTCTCCTCTCATAGTCTCTTTCCTCCTCACTTGCCCGTTGTGACTATCACTAGCTTTGCTCATAATTGTGAACTTTAAACTATTGCTTCTTGAACTTGTGCTCAGAATGTGTGGTGACATTGTGATCCACCCTGAGCTTGTACTGCTTTGCTTGCTCTGCTGATTACACCCCACTTTGGCTATGGGGGTGTGTCAGAATATTATGCTCTAGCCTGTAGTGGGGTGCTCTATAGCGAGTACAACCCTTCTAGGGTTTGCTATTTGTATCCTCATTCTTGCTAGTGCAACCCTCTTCTTTCTTTTAAACTTCAACAAAACCAGGAGAGAAATGAGCACACCTCCATGGTCGCAAGGCTAATCTCCATTGCAGTAAGTAGACGGCCCCTCGCCTTTTCCCCGCCGTTACTAATATATGTATTACTAATAACTTTAGACGCTTCCAGTCTTGACAGCAGGCCCGCTAAGTGTTGCTAGGCGCTGCTCTTGGCGGCTGCTGGATAAGCAGGGATATGAGGACAGAAGAACAAGGTAGGGAGGTGGCACGAGTCAGTTCCTCAGCACATGCACACACGGGCGTGTTGGTGTCGAAGTATATGCCTGTTATATATGTGTAGGCTTTAGTGGGGTAGCCAATATGGGGTACAGCCCCTTTTAGGGTTTCATACTTGTACCCACCTTTTTCATAGTTGATTCATTCCTGCTGCTAGATTTTGACATGGTATCAGAGCACTAGGTCCGTAGGACCGTTTTTTTCGGGCCCACCTACCGTTGCAGTTACCGCGCTACCCCACGTGTTGTCCTGCGCCTGCCTGCCCTGCCTTGTGACGTGCTGCGCTGCGCGCGCCGTCCTGCAGCCCTTGCGCTGCCTCCTGCTGCCCTAGGCCAGCGCGCCGCCCCTGCAGGCCCGTACGGCCCGCGCGCCGCCCCTGCAGGCTCGTAAGGCCCACGCGCCGCCTCTACAGGCCCGTCAGGCCCACGAGCTGTCCCTGCAGGCCCGTCAGGCCCACGAGCCGCCCCTGCAGGCCCGTTAGGCTAGAACGCGGCCCCGCCCTGCCTCTGACGCGGCCGCGCCCAGCATCTGACGCGGCCGCGCCCTGCCTTAGACGCGGCCGTGCCCTGCCTTCGACGCGGCCGCGCCCTGCCTTCGACGCGGCCGCGCCTTGCAGCCGTCGCGGCCGCGCCCTGCCTTCGACGCGCCCGCACCCTGCCTTCGACGCGGTCGCGCCCTGCAGCCGTCGCAGC